CCCCAAAACCCCAAAACCCCAAAACCCCAAAACCCCTAAATACTAGGATTGGTTGAGATATTTGAAATAATCATCAGATCACAACTGGTGGTCTCACGAGTTTGCATCCACTCGTCTCTAATTTCTGTATCTGAAATAGCTCATTACTGAAGTCAACATCGACACTGAGCTTTCCTGGTTGTTGGCAGGCTCGTCTGCTTGCTCTGAAGCATCAGCCGCAGGCTCTTCAGATACCGACTGGTTGGACTCAGACTCATCATGACACTTGGATTCTTCAATAGGAGCATTTTGATGTCTTTTTATTAAATTTTTAGAGATCATTGTGTCATTGTTATCTATAGATACATAAGCTTAAGGACAAAATTTAACTTACTTTCATGCATTTTCTCATGTTCCAATGGGAGGCTCTTAGCTTCTAAATATATTTCAGATTTCAGACTCAAGAACAATCCTTCTTAGTCGTACCTTTGAAATTTCTTTGAGGGGCTGGGAGGTTGGAAGAAGATGAGATTAAACTTATCTCTGGACTTATCCCTTGGCTGTCTATAACTATGAGTTATAAATATACCCTTAATGTTCTTGATCTCCTTTTGCAAGACTCTGAATCTCATCTCATTGTCTTTGTCTGACTTCTCGAGATGTTCAATAACGTTTCCATATACTTGATTAGATCTCTCTATTACAAATAGTGATGTGGTTAAGAGAGGAAGATGAAAAGCTCAAATTGATCTTTGTAGACAATATTGCTAGCATAAACATAATGTCCTAGAGACTGTGTCTATTCATAATCTACTAGGAAGAGAAGAGAAACTTGATCTAGAGAATGCCTCTTTTGTCAAGTCTAGGTTTTAAATCCTGATTAAATTTTGCAAGAAATGTTCTACCCACGCTGAAGATTTTTAGTTGGTGAATGGCCAAATTCTAATATCTCCATTACAGGTAAATAAGCGGAAGCATTAGAAGTAAATTTGACAACTGAATGAGTTAACTAATCCAATAATTTTGAAAATTCTCAACAGTGTCCAATAATTTCAAAGTTTCTCTGAGCTTTCAAGAACGTTCTCCAATGAGACTGCACAATTTTAGGATTCAGGCATATACGAGCAAAGCTAAGACGCTGTAGGTCTACATTAGGTCTAAACTCTTGATTATTTATACTACTCCAGCTAGTTACATTCCCCTCCGTGTTTGTAATAACATGAAGCGATCACTAATTTGCATTAGATTTCATCGATGAATAGTAACCCCACCAGTTTAGATCAGAAGGGGTGAACTTCTGCCAAATCTTGCCTGCGTTTATATGAAAAGTGCTTTCAATATGAAACAGCTCGCAAGACCGATTCTCTGGCTTTGTTTCATTCGAAATGTATGGTATAAATTAATAATCTAGAGCTCCTAAATTTGTTCCTAAAATATTTAGTACTAACATGCCAGCAGTAATCTAGCACCTGTAGTACAAGTAGAGAGAGGAGGAAGGGAAGTTTACCATCCATCCTGTTAAATAGTCTTTCCTCCATTTCCATGAAGGATTTGAACATGTTTTGGTATATCTGTGCCTCCTTGGCCTTAGAGGCTATATAATGTAAGAGAGAGGTTAGATCAAGAGTCTTACATTCAGAAGCAAGTCTGAGCTTTGTCTCCAAAGATTCGATCTTTATCTTAGCTTCTTCAAACTCTTGGAGGCTGCTCCTCATGAATTCTTGCTGTTCTGCAGCTCTCTTTTTATTTTCTTCCTGTTGTTCGGCATCCCTTTGCTTATTTTCATCCTGAATTTGGTCTATCTTCTCAGATAGTTGTTTGACTTGGTCTGCGAGCATTCTGTTCGGATCTTGAGGCTGGTGATTAACGAATGCTACTAAATCCTCTGATTGCTCTATATAAGCTTTAGCTAGATGCTCAATAGATGTTTACCAGTTTGCTAATCCATACAGGTCAAAGCAAGGCCTTTCACAGAAAGATCCGTAACCAAATTGTGTTTTATATTTTGCTAGTTTATCAAAAAATCTTGGGTAAAAATTTGAATAGAAAAGTGTAATTTTATCAAGAAAATAACAAATATGGGTGTCAATAAGGAGACCCATGGAAAAGATCGATATGAAATAGGATAGCAAGAAACCATCAAGAGACTTACCTCCAGACTGTTGAGGAGGTCTTGGCCCTACATCAATTTCAGATGGACTCTGGCTAGGCAATGTTGCTCTAACACGATTGCCTTCTTCTTGTACCACAAACAAATTGTCCCTTTCCTGAACTGAGAAAGTTCTTTGAGCTTCTTTCTTTACTCTCTGTGGCCTTTCTGGACTTATTTGTCTGGGAGGTGGTAGATTTTCCTTGCTTTTCTCATTCCTGAGGTCTGGAAGAGCTGAATTTTCATTAGATCTTTGTCCGAAGCAATTTGATAAGCACCCGAAGTCCATTAAATTATTATATTCAATAGTTGAAATGCTCTAAGGGGTTTTGGGGTTTTGGGGTTTTGGGG